GGATCTTGCGAACAGGTAAATTCCTCTGATCTTCACTGACGTTCCTTCACTGACCCATCTACTTCCTGTGGCAGCCTATTGTAGATAATGGACTCCTGTGACACCCTGTGCCTCAAAGCAGCACCCTGGAACCCCTGTATTCATCATTCATATAGTTATGATATATTTCATACAAAGCATGCCATGTAAGATATAAGAAAGGCCATGCTGTAACCCATGGTTCTGTCCAAATATGTATTCATTAGTGTGTATGAAGTTATGAGTTTTGCTGTATGGTTGTTACTGAAATATGCTGTATGTTTGCTAGTGACATACAAAGGACCCACGCCTAGGAGGGTGCTCAATAACCATTAATCAGTAGGGGAGTTGTAATCAAGGGATCTACAATCCAATGACAGTTGCCCAAGCACAACACAGTGGGGAATGCTCAACTTTATGACTCAGTTGCACAAGACCACACCCGGGGGATTGCCCAGCCCAGTGCCTCAGCAAAGCCCACCAGGACATATCTTCTAGGCACATGGTCTAAGGATATAAAATAGGACACTGTGACAGCATGTTTTTGCTTTTCTCCTCCCCCACCTCCAGTGAAAGCAACTGGAATGAAGAGAAGATGAAGGTCATCTGAGGAAACTGGTCCAGGCTTAAGGGGAAGCCTGCGTATTAAGAACTGTAACATCCTGTGAGATGAGAAAATTGCTGATCTAAATATTGCCTAGTGTAATAAGGTTTAAGAGTTAGATTGTACATTTTTCTCTTATTTTCTTTGGTAACTTTCTCGGAATTTTTCTGCTTACAACTTTATAATCACTTAAAATCTCTCTTTCTGTAGTTAATACATCTGTTTTATACTTCACCTAAAACAGTGTATTTTCTTGAAGTGCTTGGGAAACCTCAGCTCAGGTACAAAAGCTGGTGCATGTCCTCACCACATGGAGAGTGGGTGGACTGGGTTATAAATTTACACTAGTCAGGATGTAAGGCTGGGGAGCTGTGGGGGAATTGGCTGGAGCCTCTCTATTGTTAGTTCATGAGTGGCTGGGAGCAGTATTCATGTAACTCAGCTGGGTGTGTCCCTTCCTGTGGATGTCTGTTTAAGTGCAGTACCTGCCACAGGTTTGCAGCTTGTCACAACATCAGTGTGAGAGGGAGCCCAGGACAGAGGGCCCAATGGTCTCACAGTTCAGATTGCACCCCAGGGATCCTATCACAACTCCCTGCCTTGCCCTCCATCCTTTTGCACATGTCTCTATACCCAGAAAGTAATTTATCATGTCATTAAGTATATTTTACAGCACAGTGATCATTAAAGAACTGACTCCCATTCAGAGCTTATTCCCCTTTCCCTTCCCCATACAGTTATGGAGTTCTGCTCTATGGAGAGAACATGATTAGGAACATTCCCTGGTTAAGTTTATTCCCCATGGAATTGAGTTCTCCTCCTTTGCTAAGTGTTACATTCTATTCACATTAGCTGTTTAGACTTCCCTGACTCAACAACTTCCCCATTAAAAACACTGAGGAATCCTGAAGCCCCTCCAGACAACATCTTAGATTCATTCTATAGTCTGAGTCACTTTCTCTTTGGCTGAGGGACATACACAGTTCTTAATTTGTAACAAAAGAGGTACCGGGGCTCACGCAATTGTTTTACTTTCATAATTAACATAGCAAGCCCAGAGGTGCTGGAACTATGACCTGCCAAGCCTAGAGGTGCCAGGACTCAGCACTGGCAAGCCCTGGCATAAATTAAACTCTGGACATACACCTAACAATGAAAAGGGCAGTTGCTTCCTAATATTTCAGATGAGCAATGTGCCCCCTCATGGAGCAGCATGCAGAAAAAAGAAACAGGGGCCAGAGTAAGGAAAGTTATTCTCTGTAAACTGCTAATGGATTATTTACACTGATTGTTCCATTGTCAGGGATAGAACAAACGGCCAGAGCAGAGATGCATAGTTGGTACTGTTTTCTCCTCCAGATCCTCCTGGGGTAGGTTTTCCTTCCAATGTAGCTGCAAAACAGAAGCACAGTTTCTTAGCAGACAAGTCTTGTGGAATCAGTTAATCTCTGCACAGGCAGTTTACATACTGCTCTATCAATGTCTTTATTACTCCCAGTGCACAGTGTCCTGAGGCGCACCTAACTGTGGAGGCAGAGTCTAGAGCTGAGAGTGTTTTATTGAGCAATGCACAGTGTCCCTCTGCAACATTAAATTCATCCAAAGCTGTTGAGCAATTTATTTTTTCCATTTTCCTCTTTCCTATTCAGAAGGGAAGGCCCCACAGACTCAACCTAATGGAAATAAGCTCATTGGACCACATTCATCCCTTGTCTAACTCCATTGCCATCAGTTGGTTTACACCAGGGATGAATTTGGCCAGTATGTTGAGGGTGCTGCCTTTGTTGTTTCTGTAGGAGAACCTACTGGTCAGTCTGACTTGTGAATGAGCTCTGGGATCCCTAACTAACAATAGGAAAACATCTGTCTTGTATCTTTTTAGAAGCTGGATGAGATGGAGAAAAGAACTGTCTACCAGGTAAGCAGCAGGAAGTCATTTTATGACAACATATAGGTTGTCATTCTCAGCATATTCTGTCTTCTCCTCTCACATGGCATAAAGTCAGAGAAGCCAGAACAAATAACAAGGCCATGAAGAATCAGTCTGAGAGTGAGAGAGTGTGCTGCTGGAGGACGGAGGAGCACAAGCGTTATCAGACACCAGGAGGAAGGTCCTGTGGTGAAAATAAGGAAGGTGTTTGGAGGAGGCCATGGAGAAGTAGCCCAGGGAGTTGTAGCTGTCATGCAGCTGTTACAGGAGGCACTATAGACAGCTGCAGTCCACAGGGCCCTGGGCTGGAACCAGGAGTAGAGGGCGGGCCCGGGTTCCCCCCAAACCTCCCAATTGACCTGGACTGTGGGTTCTTCCAGAAGGGAAGGTCTCTGGGCTGTTCCCCAACCCACATGGTGAATCTCTGGGGCAAGAAAATCCACCAATAAGCGCAGGACCCACCAAGATAGAGGAGGAACTTTGTTACACCCACATATGATGATCAGTTAGACCCTGAGCATGTGAGCAAGAACAAGCCAGCAAAGAGAATGCTTGGTGCCACCTCAGATCCCTGGCCCACCATGCCCAATGTCCCATCTCCAGGCATGGCCATCTCTGATGCTTCAGAGGATGGAGATGAAAGACAAACAAAAAACACAGTCAATCAGTAAAAATTACTCTACTAGACCAAGGTGCTAATGTAAGAGAATTTGGGATAGCAGCAGTTCCATGAATGACAGTGAAGCATTACTCTCTAGACAGACTAGCAGTCAAATTAATGCTTAGTTTACTATGGACAAAACATTTCTGTGCAAGGTCAGGAAAGTCAAAGATCTCCCATATACTAGCTTGTGATGTTGTTTTAAGGAACTGTCTGTGGTGCTGAAATCATAGTTTGGGCAGCCAGTGGCACAGTGACATTGACAGTGACATGGCCCAGTGAGTAATTGAAGTGCATATGCGTGTGTGTGTGTGAGTGTAAGTGCATGCATGAACATCCAGAGGCATGGGAGTTGCAGTTGCAGTTCCAGATGAGGCAAGCGGCCTCCAGCCTGTGTTTGTTGCATCACACTGTTTATAACACATGACACTGAGGCCAGGAGGTTAACATCTCCTTTTCTTGTGAGGAATGCCCATACTATAGGATTTATAACAGATGCCTTGTCAATATGGGAAGCTTTTGCTCTTATTTGTACTTTGTCTACTGTACACTGAATGCATTTTCTACCTCTGCAGGTTAAGGTGGTAGTTCTTCAGATCCTTAGTGAGATGATAGACAGGAAAATTTAGAGGGAGATGGAACATGGTGTAATCTATCACCAGGGAGCCATCATATCATACAACAACCTGATAAAGACAAAAATGAACATTTATGGCCTAATCCTCAGCTGGTGTAATTTAGTGCACCCTCAGTATCTAAATCTGACTGTTGGAGTGAGCTGTATAAATGAGGCCATGACTAACAGTACAACTTCCAGCTCCCACAGAGAGTACATTGACATAATCCACCCACTGCTGGTTATAGGCAGGGGACAGATTGCTGCATAGTTCATGAAAGTGTAACAATCTGCTCTTCAATTAAGATCTTGAGATTTAACAATAAAAATCATTTATCTGCTCTTTTCCGCTTTAGTCAAGTTTATTTTAAATGAAAAGAACAATGAAAACAATTACATGGAATAATGATGTCAATGCAACCATAAGGTTGCTGGTTTAAAATAGCCAGGATATGCAAAAGGTGAATCCTCCAAGAACATTTACTTGACCACATTGCACAGCTCAGTGGGAGGTGGGGTGAGGGTTGGGGTAAATTTTAAAAATGTAGGTCCTGATCCTGAAAATACTTATTCACAAGTTTAACTTTAAGCACATGAGTAGCCTTATGGGTTTGCAGAATCAGGGTAATAAATAATAAAATATGAAGCCAGCGATTCTCAAACTGTGATCTACAGAGCATTTACTAGTAGTCTGCAGAGAGCTGGCAGGTCACATTGTCCTGGCTCTTGATACAATAATGGAAATGGAAGCAGTGGAATAACTTGAGGAGGAGAATGGCAATCAAATCAATGGACAAGGAAGATGAGTTTAGCTGTAGCATTTCATATAGACCGGAGTGAAGCAATGTGGGCTTTACAGAGGCCAGAGAGAAAGGTGTTGCAGTAGTCAACGTGGGATTTAAACAGTACCTATTAAGATGTGGTCAACACCACAAAAAAGTTTTAAAAGACCAATATTCAGTTATACATTTAACCAAAAGAAGAATAGCAAATACTGCATAGGTGAGATAAAATTACTCTAGGAATTTTAACTATGCTTTGCCCTGTCATTTTAACAGTGAGCTTAACATTCCTTTTATATAGTTTTACACTTATTATTTAAAAGGAAAAAATGATGAGAGTTGCAAAAGTGCCATGTACTGTTTAAATCACAAATCATTACAGGGTGAAGGCTGGACTGTAAGGAGAGGACTAAGAGTAGAAGTTGAAGGCAGTCAGAGATATTTGCATTTGGGAGTGGGGTATTTCTCACCACTTTGGGGATTGCTATAGGCTGCCCATGGCTTTCTGAGATCAGCATGTGCTAGATGGCAAACAGGAAGGCTGGTGGAATCTTGGAAGTGTCACTTCACTGAGCTATGAAGAGGAAAAGTCAAGGAAGAGAGAGAAAATATGCAGAGACACAGCTATAAAAAGGAAGAATTAAGGGCAAAGCGGGTTTGTTACCATATCTGTAATTGCTGGTATATATCTGGACAGTGCTTTTAGGGGTTAGCAACTGGAAAATTATGGCAGACTTGTGTACAAAGGTACAGTCAAATCTTTCTTCTCCCCCAGCCCCAACCTCCATTGCTAATTTTCAATCATTGTCTTTAAGCTCAGTTCTCAAAATTTTATTAGCAAGATAATTTAGCTTTTAAAATAATGTACGATGTGGGGGGGGCATGAGGTACTTTCAAAAGATATTTTCTGAAATGTACTTTATATGTATATGTTTGTGGACATGTTTCACGGATATCCATTTCTGAGTGTTGTGTGACCAAGAGGTCATGTTCCTTCCTATATTCATTAAATCACTGCTTATGAAATCTGCAGAACTGCATGATGGTAAGTTGGATGTAAGATATTTGCTTAAAATGAATTTAAAGGAAAGATATTCTGTACTTTGTCCATGAAAGGGTAAACAAAAACATTTGCTCTGTGGGGTTTTTAAAAGCCATAGTAATATTTAAAAGAAATGTGAAAAAGCTGTAAATGCATAGTACTTTTTATACTCTCCTGTTTTAGAGGGAAACAATTATAAGCAAAGGCTCAAAGTCATTCACTAATGTGGACTTTCCATAGGACAAAATCCATCTTCTTTTGAAATCAATGGAAAGACTCCAATTGTATTCAATAGGAGACATAAGACTTGGATCTGTAAGGTGCTGAGAACTCTGGCACTGATACAGAAAAGGACTTAGCATGTGCTTAATTTTAAACACTTGAGCAGTCCTACTGACTTCAAGGCATAGGTTCTATTTGGGGTTTACTCAAATAGACCCAGTTGAAGTCAGTGAGACTACTTAAGAATTTGCATGATCGAAGCCCTGGATGCTGGCTCTTTTTGTTTCCTGCTGTCAAATGTAATTAAAAGACAACTGGAAATACACACATACTTCCTCAATATTACTTTAACATATAAGTAATTACTGTAGTTTCCACAGCATTGTTTTGGGTTTGTGAATTGGAGGCGATCCATGAAACAACTGTTCTGTTAAAATGTGGTCTGCTCCAAGAAAAAGTTCAAGAACTCCTACCTTGGTGTTTTGCTTGTCTGGTTAAACAGTCACTCTGTGAATAAGCAAGAAATCTACCAAAAATTTCCTTAAATGATTTTTACCCCAAAACCTGCTACAGGATAGTTCCTCCTGTTGATCAGAGACATGCTCTGTAACTATATTTTTAATAATTCATTTTTTCACATCAGTGCCAAATATTAAGCTTTACACTGTGATTTGAGTAACTTTTTCCCATTTTATTTAATTAAATGGAAACCTCTCATGGGAAGAAGTTTGTGTCATTTTTGGAGAACTACCCAGCAGGAGTAAATCATTAGCAAGACAAAATGACAGTGTACAGATTACCACAGTATATGTGCTCACTCCTGCAAACACTACACACATGAACTCAACTGGCCTACTTCCACGAATAGTTACTTATGTGTCTGTTGGTAAAAATCAGGCCCTGTGTTAACCATTGTTGTCATGCGTAATGTTTCTATTTTGTAGCAACCTGGATGATAACATGTTGTCTACTGAAAAATCAAATATCTTTGCCTGAATAAATACACTGGGCATTAGTGCAAACTCCTACTCCCCTGAGTCCTGCGGCTTCCCCTGCAGGAGTACGATATGATGCCATATGGTATATGTAAAATGAGAACCGATATCTTGTCTAAAACAAGATTTGGAAGGAGGGAGAGGTTGGTGGCTTTTGTTTTGTATTTAAAACAATGCTGCTTAAAATTGCCAACAGTGAAACTGCCTTTCTACTTAGCAGGGTAATAAGAAAACTCACTGGCATTTGAAGATTGTATAGTTATAATCTGAATAATTTGCCTTCACAAATTATGGTTTGTTTGCCCTTTAGAGGAAGTATTTTGGTGATAATCTGACTATTCAAAATTACCTTTTCATTGAAGATGCATGTTTTCATTACTACACTGCTCTGTTGTCATTTAAGCACTGATTCTGTTGAGCACTTAGGCACATGTTTAAAAGTCCCATTGATTTCAAGTTGAAAGTTAAGCGTGTGGTTAAATGCTTTGCTGAATCAAGGCCTTAAAAAAGGGGGAGGGGGAAGTCAGTTAGGTCTTTTATGCTGAAAACAAGTCCCAAATCTCATTCAGGATTCTTTCTGGATGAAAAAGTCTTCAAAAGTTTAAAAAAATATATGAACTGGCATAAATCTAAAAACCACAAGGTCAGAATCTCAGATCCATCCCTCCATTTGGTATACTAACTTACACCAGCCAAGGATTGGCACAAAACCACAATGAAATACACCCTAATGATTTTTTCCTAATATATCATATCACTCACATTTTCCCCTTGGTACTAGGTTATATAGGCTTATAGTTACATTTCTATAATTCTTAATTATATTAATGTAATATTCTAAAATATTGTGTCTTATTGTGCATTATTTTGTGAGGTAGGGAGGTATTATTAACTCCATTTAACAGATAGGGAACTGAGGAACAGGGAGATTAAAAGTAATTTGCTAAAAGTCAGAGAGGAAATCTTGAACAGAGCTAGGAAATGAACACATCTCCTGAGTTCCAATTCCATACTTTAACTACAAATCCATCACCCTTCCCTCACAAGAAATGAAGGGTACACCAACACTGCAAAAAAAGACCCACAGCAGCAAGTCTCAGGTCAGCTCACTCGGGCTTGCAAGGCTTATGCTACAGGGCTAAAAGTACCAGCGTAGCTACAGCCAGGATTCTGGAACCAGGGAAGAGGGGAGGATCTTGGACCTCAGGCTCCATCCGAAGGCCAAACATCTACACTGCAGTTTCCACCCAGCAGTGTGAGCTCCGCAAGCCCGAGTCAGTTGACCCAAGCTCTGAGACTCACTGCTGTGGGGTTTCTTTGCAGTGTAGATGTACCCTAAGTCAGAGGTTCTCAACCTTTTTCTTTCTGAGTCCCACTCCCACAACATGCTATAAGGATTCCGTGGTCCACTTATGCCACAACAACTGTTCTGCATATAAAAGCCAGGGCTGGCATTAGTGGGTAGCAAGCAGGACAATTGCCCGGGGCCCCATGCCACAGGATGCCCTGTAAAGCTAAGTTGCTCGGGCTTTGGCTTCATCCCTGTACAGCAGGGCTTGGGATTTCTGCCCTGGGCCCCATAGAGTCTAATGCCAGCCCTGCTTGGTGGACCTCCTGAAACCTGCTCACGCTCTCCCCAGGGGCCCCCAGACCCCGGTTGAGAACTGCTGCCCTAAGTAATCATGGAGTGAGAGTCAAAGTACTGCCATGGATAGAAACTTGCTAAGAGAAAGAAAACAAATAGAAGGTCAGTTTTCAACATGGCAAAAGATAGCTGTGTGGTCCCTAAAATTCTGTGCTAGAACTGATGTTATAGAAAGGGGGGTTAATAGTGAAGTGGCAAAATAGGTAGATGTCACAAAATTATTTAGATCAGTTAAGATTTGAGAATACCGAGAAATTTCAGAGGTCCCTAGCAAAGCTGGGTGAATGGATAGCACAACAACAGATGAAATTTAGTGTTAAGTGTGAAGTAACAACAAGGACAACCTGTATACCTCGTTGCATTCTGAAGAAACTGTAACCACTCCAGGAAAAAGATCTGGGCATCATTATGGGCATATATTATATTAAAATTAAATTAAAACTTCCGGCAGAAATGTATTGGTAAGAATTTTTGTACAGCGCATTTTTGCATAAATTATTATAATCTTTGCTATATTATGGTGTTGAATGACCCATTAAGTTTTATCTTAATTTACGCTCAGTTGTAAATAAGTAAATGCAACTTTTTGGTAAAGTTTCTGTATGTATTGATACATCAGGCAGAAAAAGGCAGACAGAATGACTACTTTGTTATAATCACTTGTCTCAACGGGGTCGGATATGGAGTCTTAGCTGAAGCCCTTTTCTATTAGAGATTTTATAAACAATGGAAAATGCAATACTGAGAAATGGGTTTTAACTTGTTACATACAGCCATATACTTACATACATTCACAAAAGCATTCTTGTTCAGGAAGGGCACTTAAGTACTTGCTTAAGTGGTTTCTTGAATCAGGGCCAAAAGCAGCAATGGAAGTAAGTTTTTGCACTTGCCTGTTGGTTTCACAAGCTGGAGTGAGCAAACCACACATCTGTCCAGTCCTTAAAGCAATGAACCCTTCTTTTGTGAAACCGGTGTTTGCAGAAGTCCCTCTGCAATATTTTTTTTTCCAGTGTGGAATGTCCAGCTTTGCTGGCAGTTGGTTCTTTTTATTCACGTTCCTGACTAGACTCAATGATTAATAATTCTTATACACTGGGAAAAACTGTTGCTCATTTCCTCCTCTCTAGTTACATTTCTAGTAGTGCTTTCATTATAGACACCAGTTTCTTTGGCATTTTTCATAATTGCCATGAAAAATTAACTGGGCAAACACAGGCTTAATCCAAGAGGAAAATTGTGGTGGGCTTTTTAAAAAATAAATATTCCAGCTAATTTTTAAAATGACTATTTTTAGACATAACATTAAATAGTAGGAATGTAATGGAGTTAAGTTTATATTTTTGAAATTAAGGTCTCAGTTCTGCCAACACTTGGCTTGTGCCAGCCCTCCAATCCATTTGTTGCATGTATTTCTCCCACACAGTAGCTTGCTGGATATGTGATTTTTCATTCACACACTGTGTGGTACAAAATTTCTCAAGCTTTGTTCAAAATTCAGGAAAGAATCCCTGTTCAGGAAAGCACTTAGGCATATGCTTAACTTAACATGGGTTGAAGCCCCAGAGACTGCCAGAGCAGGAGAAGGACACTTTCTCTGCAAAGGAGAAATGCATCCTGCTGGTGTAGAGTGAAGCATTTTATGTTCTCTCTGAGGAAGTATGTGGATTTGGAACAGTGTATAAGATGAGGCATTTAAGTAGCTGTAAGTAGAACTGGGTGCAAAACACCACGTTTTCTTAATGTGATCAAGTCCTGTCACTGATTATTATGTACAAGTTTATGCACAAAAGGCAAACCATGCTGTATTTTAACAATTACAATCTTTTAGTTTTATAACAAAGAATTATGTAGTGGTAAGTTTACCTTGTAACTAATCTTTTCTTTTTCTTTCTTTCTTTTACTCTTCACGGCAGTTTGCTATATTACTATCTTGCCTCAGTTTATAACATACTCCACTATGCTGCAATGTAAATTGCTAGGTATAGGGGCTGCAGCATCTCCACAGAGACCCTGTTGTTTTGCCATAAGCTGAGGATGACTTTTAGTTCCAATCATGTTTCCTGATTCTTTTTGCCAGATTTCATCTGTGCCATGGAACAGAGCTGGGACATGGGTACTTGCCTGTGTCTTTCTTGCTGTGCAGTCCTTTCTTGTCAACGGACAAGAGCACTCTGGATACCATTCAGGTACAAGCTGATAAATCAATTAACTTCTCCAAAAACAAATATGATAAAAAAGTAAATATTTTACCAGAATGATTGCCAATGACCTTGATGACACCTTTTCATTTGGTTCTTTGATGCGCTATTTGAAATTTAATGATGAGCACAGTGCTGAAAAATTAGCATGAGCTGGTGAAGCCAATTATTTAAATACCCATTGATTAATTGGAAAAAGCACATTAACATCTGTAGATAAAAAGCAATAGAAATATAGCATGAAAGGGGCTGATTCAAGATTAGTTTGTGTGACTGAATCTATGTCTACACTATAATTAAACACCCCCGGCTGGCCTGTGTCAGTTGACTCAGGCTTGCTGGGCTTTGGCTCCAAAATTGTGGTGTAGACATTTGGGTTCAGACTGGAGCCCAGGCTCTGGGACCCTCTCCACTCACTGTGTTCCAGATCCTGGGCTTCCGCTCAAGCCCACATGTCTACACTGCAGTTTTACAACCTCACAGCCTGAGCGGTGCAAGCCCAAGTCAGCTGACATGGATCAACCACAGGTGTTTAATTGCAGTGTAGACTTACCCAGTGTGAGCTATAAACCCATTAACCATTTTCAAGTACATAAAAGGTTGTTACAAGGAAGAGGTAGAAGAATTGTTCTTCTTAACCTCTGAGGATTGGACAAGAAGCAATGGGCTTAAATTGCAGCCAGGGCGGTTTAGGTTGGACATTAGGAAAAACTTCCTAACTGTCAGGTGGTTAAGCACTGGAATAAATTGCCTAGGGAGGTTGTGGAATCTCCATCATTGGGGATTTTTAAGAGCAGGGGTTAGACAAACACCTGTCAGGGATGGTCTAGATAATACTTAGTCCTGCCTTGAGTGCAGGGGACTGGATTAGATGACCTCTTGAAGTCCCTTCCAGTTCTATGATTCTCCTGATCCTGCAGTTCTTGAATACCTATTGGGAGACTGCAGGATTGGGTCCTATAGTAAGACAAGCTATACAGTAGCCTCTATGAGTAAATAAATTCCTATGTTTATGCAACAAAATGCTATTTACATGCAAATATATTATAAATTAAAATAAAACCACTGCATGGCATGACAGCATTTAGAGTTCATCCAATTTCTAATAGAAATAATACACAAAAGAACACTGTACACCTAAAAGCGAAACACAAGCCTTTAATTTGTTCCCAGACCTCATATACTAACATATCAATGAAAAGTAACAAGCTGAATACTGAGATGCTGATGACTACTTCATTAGTCCAATTTACAGTAGTGTTTAGGCCTACAAACGAATGCTTGTGTTTGCATACATAAGTGTGATTGTCTAATTTTAAAATTCAGGCTCAAAGTGGCTAAGGCTATGTTTACACTTATGAAATTATACCAGCATAATTACGTCAGCATAGCCCAGTCATGTAGATGCCGCCTACATTGAAGAGGTTTTTCTGTTGGTGTAGGAACACTACCTCCTCAAATGACATTAGCTATGTTGACAGAATCCATCTTCCATCAGCATAGCTGCATCCACACTGTGGGTTATGTCAGAATGGGTACTTCAGTCAGGTGTGTGGATTTTTCACACCCCTGATTGACATAGCTATGCCTATATAACTTTTTCAGTGTAGACCAGGCCTAAGAGAGATTCAGTGTCCTCAGTTATGTTCCAAACTGAGTCAGAAACAGCTATGATAACATCTGTGGTGGCTCAGTTCCCACCTAAGCAGCTCGACAAATAGAAAATAAATATAGACTTGATGGAAAGAACAACTAGATTCTTAATTATGGGTTTTTTAAATTTTTGTTATTAGCCTCCCTGTATTTATTCAGATCTCTGCTGTTTGTTTTTCAAAAACCTCAGACTGGTGATATGGTTGGCTAGAACCATCTTTTTCATTGACATAGTTATGACTATACCAAAAAGCACTGGACTGAGAATTTAGGCCCAGATCTTGAGAGAAAGCTAGGTTCCTAATTCCCACTGATACCAATGAGAGCTAGGATCTGGGCCTTAGTATAAAAAGTGCTTTATTGTGCCTGTGTATGTGATTAATGTTTTATTATTATTGGTATCTCAAAAATGTATTAGGTGACGAAGACACCTATAGGAAAATAGCGGCAGAATCATACCCTTATTTGCCTGAATTAGGAAGTACATCTTATGATGGCTATAAATCAGGAGATGATTTCAGGATGACATCCACAAGCATCCCTTTCCTCACAGACTATCCTGGTAGATATTACCCAGAGGAAACCACAGCTGGATATTATGCGTCGTCATCTTCAGGTTATTACCCGGACAGAGAGAAACACACTTTCCCAACAAAATACTATGTTGATGCTAGAGATGATACAACTTTGACAGTTAAGACATCATTCAGTGAAGAGAAAAATCTTTTCCCAGTTCCTGAAATCTCAAGAGAAGCACAAGGTATGAATAATCTTTACTCTTTCCTTACTTTTCCCTCTATGACACATGTATACAACTGCTGTAGCATACTGTTATCCATATAGCAGCTGCATGTCCAAATACAAACCAGTTTGGAATGAGAAATGTCTAAGGCTGAACAAGCGAAAGTATATCTTAATTTGCCCAATTTGTATCCCAGGCTCATTTTGTTATTATGATGTAATATTTCATTTTCTTCCTATTTTCTTTTCTGCTCACTCTTATGTTACTCCTAGATAACAGGACATTAGCTGTGACCAACACTACTTTTTCTCCAACTCTACTTAGTCAGAAAGGTTGGGAACATCTCCCTCCCCCTGTTGGGAACATTACCATCCATTCCATATGTTGGTAGTAGCTCCTTATCCAAACACGTGATGACTTTTTTCACCATTTTCATGTTAGTCATGTTGACCGCTGTTCCATTTTAGTCACTGATCTATTGGAAGAACTAGAAGTACACAGGGCTTCTGGAGTTAGTATTGTTCCCGGATCACAAAGCGACCTGACAGCTTATCAGCTTGGACCAAGCGTGCAAGTCAGAAGAGAAACCAGGTATGTAAAATGACATCAACAACCTATTAGGCCTTTAAATTGGGATTATGTAAACCCCTTAATCTTGTTAACATCTTAATATTTTGTTTCAGTGAACTTCAGTATGTGCACTGAAGTATAGATTCAAATTAATGTGTCAGATGCTCAGTTGGTTTAAATCGGTATAGCTCCATATAAGTCAATGGACAATGAAGAGTCCCAAGAATCCTCATCTACTGTGGCATGAGACTATAACATTGTCCCCTGACTATCTGTAATACTTCATTCCTCAATTCCAGACATATGGGTTTCTTTAGACAAAAAGGCCCAGTCTGCACTAGAGATACAGCTGTGATTTTGAAACCACTGCTCTATATAGTTAATCCCTTTCCATCGAGAGGGACCCATCAGAGGGATAAACATCAGGGAGAGAAAGGAGTTATTTAAGTTAAGGGCCAATGCTCGCACAAGAAAAATGGATATAAACTGACCATCAATAAGTTTAGGCTTGAAATTAGACGAAGGTTTCTGACCATCAGAAGAGTGAAGTTCTGGAACAGCCTTCCAAGGGGAGCAGTGAGGGCAAAAAACCTAACTCGTTTTAAGACCTAGCTTGATATGTTTATGGAGGGGAAGGCATGATGAGGTTGCCTACAGTGGTGTATGGCCCATCTGCAACTGTTAGTAGCAAATACCCCCAATGGCCGGAGATGGGACACTAGATGGGGAGGGTTCTAAGTTACTACAGAGAATTCTTTCCCAGGTGTTTGGCTGGTGGGTCTTGCCCATATGCTCAGGGTCTAATGGATCCCCATATTTGCGGGTCACAAAGAATTTTCCTTCAGGTCATATTGGTGGAGACCCTGGGGAGTTTTCACCTTTCTCTGCAGCATGGGGCACAGGTCACTTGCTGGTTTGAACTAGAGTAAATGGTGGAATCACTGCCATTTGAAGTCTTTACATCAAGGTTTGAGGACTTCAGTAACTCAGCCAGAGGTGATAGGCCTATTACAGGAGTGGGTGGGTGAGGTTCTGTAGCCTGCGATGTGAAGGAGGTCAAACTATATGATCGTGATGGTCCCTTCTGGCGTTAAAGTCTATGAGAGTCAGTATTTCCCATGACAAATGTTGTTAATGGAAAACAAACATTTTCAAGGGGACTTGATGTTGAACACAGATGCTAAGGTGTAGCGTTTCTTAGGTTTTTCATACATTTCTTTTCTAGATTTATTCTCCCATATGGGTTCCCCCAGGAATTCTCTGTAGTCTCCACCTTCAGAATGAGAGAGGACACCTCAGAGGTGGTCTGGGATCTGTGGGAAGTGATGGACAGAGAAGGTGCTGATCAGTTCAGGCTGCGTCTGTATGGTGAGAGCTATGCAGTTGACATATATAATGCAGCAGGAGCAGCAACAGGTAGTGAGCTCACCACCTTTGAGAACCTGGAGAAGCTTTTCGATGGGGCATGGCACAAGCTCGCTCTGTATGCCAGGAGACACCATATTACTTTGTATGTAGATTGCCAGCAAGTGGGCACAGCCCCTGTCACTCATGATGGAGCAATCAGAACAGATGGAGATAGTGTTTTGGCCAGGAGAATAAAGGATGATGTTACTCCGCTGGTAAGTACCAAGCCATGCACCTTACTATATATAGATTTATCCTTAACCTAGACTGTTCAGAAACATTCAAAAAGGGATCATACATCACTCTGACTTACTGGAAATATGGACTCATGTTGGCTTATGTGTCTGTGACATGAGCCTTTTACTTCACTAACCTTTCTTCCAATGTGCCCAGCCTGTCTTGGATGCCACTGAAATCAGACTTGCACTCCCCATTCTGAACTGAGGATCAGGAAACAGGGTTTGTTCAATTTCATTTGCACTCTACTGGAGCTGAGGCTTTGGCCTCTACTATCTAGCAATGAAGCCACACGTCCTGGTACAAAATGCTGCAGTCCTTAACATGAGAAGTTGCTATAAATATATCACTCCCACAATCGGCTCTCTGCACTGTTTCCCCACTGAATAGAGGGTACAGTTCAAAGTCTCTGTCCTTTATATTCAAAGTAGTCTATGGGATTCATTCTCGCTATCTGAGTTCTCCCTCTGTGCCCATTACCTACCACAACAATGACCTACCACTGGAGCAGTGAGATTGTCAGCCCATAAGGGGAGGCTCCGTAGTACAGGAAACAGAACTTTTACAGGGGCTAGAGTTACGGAACTCACTCCGGCAAGAGAGAAGAAGGATTTCAGACCAAACCATTCTCCCAACTACATGCAAACATACTGCTTCATTGTAGTTTTCCCTCAGCAAGTCCTTCACAGACAGACGCCACAGCACAATACAACCACTCGCTCACATACAAACACAAATACAAATTGAAATGCCCATAAACTTATCAAGCTCTCTCTCCCACAGACTGGGAAGAAAATATTAATGCTATGCCAACCGTTCAGTATTTGGGAGGTGTTTAGATATTGTGGTGATGGGGGGGACAGACAGACGGAGAGATTATAATGCGGGTGAAGCTTTCCTGGAATTTCAGCATTTCCCCATTGATTCAATAGGTTGATGTGCAGCAACTTCAGCTTTACACAGACCATAACCAGGCAGTGGATGAAACTTGTTGTGAAATACCTGGAGTGGTGAGTTTAGACTGCAGATAATACAAGCTAGACATGCTTTCTCAGATTACAATTAAATTCCTGTCCCCATTTTTCACTTTTTTTTCTTTTTGTCCCTTGCAGGAAGATGACCGGGTAAGTTCCCGAAAGCACATTCAGTGGATTTATAAATATGGAAATTTCACTTTAAATGCAGAAGGAAAACATAGTTCAAATGTGTGTTTGTGTTTTCTCCCAAGTGTGCTAGTTCAGGACTTATGGAAACTAGAAAGGATTGCAACTGCCAGCCTGGAGAACCAGGTTATGCTGGCCTTCCTGGTCCAAAGGTAAGAAGAGCAATTTATTATTAACTAATGTAGAGTTAGCTTTGAATGGAGAGTGAAGTGTAAGGATTTCAGAAAATGTAAACAAATTTGTAATGTTGGCTGTGACTGGAGGCCCAGGGGAGCCAGCTGAGGTCACTCAATTAGGGTGAACTGCAAAGAATGGGGCAGGCAATCCCCAAAGCTGGTGGATATTCCAATACTTAGATTTACCAAACCAGCACAAAACAGTCTCTGTTATATCTCACTGGTTACTCAGAAGTCAACAACACAGTTCCCTTGAAGTAACCCAGCCTCAGGCCTCCACCTAAACACCCAAGTCAAATATGATGAGGATTAATGAAAATCTTATTCATCCTATAAAAACACATTACCTTCCAGGTTAATGAATATTCCAAATCTTACCCAAATACACTCTTACAGCCGATTCTATTAACTAATCTAAAAATTATTAAAAAAGAAAAGGGAGAGAGGATTGGTTAAAAGAACAGTATACATACAGACATGAGTCGATCTTGAGATTCAGATTCATAGCAGGGATGGAGAGCTTTGTAGATGCAAAGAGTTCTTCTGAAATAGTCCATAGATTATAGTCCAATGTTTATATTCAGGGCGGTCCAGTCAGAACTGGGATCTCAGTCCTTATGGCTTAGGCTTCCCCCGCATGAAACCTCAAGCAGATCTGAGATGACAGGATCAGGACACAAGGGTCTTTTATACAATGCCAGGCCTTCTTCGACAGGTCGGAGTCCTTAGGAGAACAATATGCAATCAGGGCGCCTTTGAAGTAGGTCTATTTCCTAAGCATCACCGGTAATTAGCTACACAAATTAACATAAGGCAATTGCCTGTTTTTCTACCACTCGCAGATGCTTGGCTATACATTTCAAAGAGAGATGAATACAGCGATATCCTATGTTTACAGTTCATTTAAATGCCAAGATGTTCTCTTGATCTCTGAATTAATGGAATACAGCATAGACAGGGACTGTTTGATTACATTGTTGACCTCTACCAATATATATGTAAATACACAAAACCATAAACAATATCTCCCCATATGTTTTTAAGGGTTGAATATGAGTCATTTATCCTGCAGGATGCTGAACCCTTTCTAGTCATGCGTCACATTGGCCATTTTAAAAAAAGTTTGTTTAAGTTTCTTTTTAAAGCCTTAAAGGCTAGGGGTGAAATCTTGGCCCCATTGGAGTCAATTTGAGACCCTCCCACCTCACCAGATTTCAGAGCCTGGGTTCCAACCTGAGCGGGAACACCTAAACTGCAATTTTTAGCCCCACAGCCCAAGCACAAGTCAATTGAGCTGGACTCTGAGACTCAGCACTGCGAGTTTTTCTTTGCAGTGTAGACATACCCAATGGCAGACTCCCATTCATTTAACTGGAGCCAGAATTTCATAAGTACTTGTACTCCTTCTTGCCTTATTTGTGCCCGCCTTTGAATTGTGGTGTACATTTCAGTCACAGCTCTCTTGTGGGTGTAGATTTTGCAGGATCAGGTTGTTCCATGTCCCGACAGAGGCTGGGCCTTTTGGAAACCTGAGCCCTAAACTCTGTAGTATTTTCATTTATGAGTGTGATTCTAAAGCAAGCATGTATGCAAATTATTGTTTGCATTTTGGAGTCTGGTCGCTGATTTCATTGGGTTTTTAGAAGATTCATAAAAAAGAGTTTAAAAATAGCACTGGGTGCTATTCAGATAACAGACTCTGAACTTTCTGATTCATATTTTGGAGCCAAATCTCCCTCTGCTCAGTATTAAGCTCTGTGACATATACTGCATTATGCTGCTCTCACTGATCCCATCTCAAGCACTGCAACATGAAACCAAACCTCTACAGGATACCCAATTTGCCACTAAAATTATTATTTCTGCTTTATGGTCTTTAAAGTTATGGTACTGAGGGTGATCATGGGATAGTTCCTCCCTATGGACCTGACCCTGAGAAGCCCTGAGCACCCTCACTTCCCAGCAAATTCAATGGATGTTAGGGGTGTTCAGCATCTCTCAGGATCATGTCCTATCCTCGGGAAATGTTTGTGCCTTTAATCTAAGACGTGCAAAAGGCTGGCACGTAGATGCTATGAAGACAACAGCCTTTTAAATGCTGCCGGAATAACAAATAATTATTATTTTATTTTTAGACTTTTTCCATCCTAGGGATTAGTGGCTTGTGACTCTCACTTTAGATATTGGGGCCAATATAAGAGCCATTGTCTCATCATATTTGGATTTTGGTAAGCAAAGAGGCGTCACACAGTAGGGACTGTTAGCAGAGTGACCTTAGAATAATGCACAGAAATCCCAGGTAGGAACTAAGGAGAGTACCACCCGTCTATGTTTTTAAAATGTGGTCTCTGTCACTGATTGCAGCTGCCCTCACGCAATGCAACATTTCCTGTGCATTTTCATGTGCTTTGTTTTGCAGGGTGAAAAAGGTGATCAAGGTGCTCTAGGCTTCCCAGGATTTCAAGGAAGACAGGTAATTGACCATTATTAATTTGGTGAAGTGATGAGTGGACCTGGATGAGGGTAGCAAAGCAAAACATTCTTAAAACAGTAATCTCAGGGCCCAATCCAACTGCACTTAAGTCAAACATAGTCTTTCCATTGGCTTTCATGGGAGCTGGATTAGCTCTGTGTTAGGGCATTAGTGATTCTTTTGTTCCATTAGTTCCTAATAGGTCAAGCTCAAAATCAAAAACTTTGACCCTGATCCTGCCAGGTACTGAGACTGCTCATCCACTATTGAAATTGCAGGAGTTGTTTAACTCGTCTCAGAATTGGGCCCATTACTTTGTTTCTTCTGGAAAATATGCTGCAGAACATCTACCAATATACTGTGAAATATGCTTACATGATTAACACTAAACTACTCCTTTCAGATAAATAAAGTACATCTTGTGGTGCTGTGATCCTTTTTTAATTCTATGTTGTTCTCTTGCTAAGTCACAAAATTCCATAATTCACAAATCCTCTCAGCTTCACTAATGAGAATGAGGGAGGTTCTTCTGCAACCCATTTTTTCCCACTATATCCTACATGTTAAGATAGTATCCTTCCTTTGTTTCTTTCCCTCTGTTCAGTACACAAGACCTTTATGGGCAGATGTGGAAGAGTGTGTGTGAAATATTGATAGGTCAGTTCCTGGGTATAGCAAAGAAAGCTGTAGAAAAATAAGAGCATGCTATTTGTCTTTAGAAGTAAAGTCACACAGTGAAATATTTCCATAGGGATACAAAGGAGCAAAAGGCGCTCCTGGAAGAACAGGTGATCCTGGACCAAGGGCAGGGCTGGCTCCAGGCACCAGCGCAGCAAGCAGGTGCTTGGGGCGGCGACCAACGTAAAGGGGCGGCACGTCCGGGTCTTCGGCGGCAAGTCCTTAGTCCCTCTAGGAGGGAAGGACCTGCCGCCGAATTGCCGCTGAAGGATGAAGCAGTGGCGGCGGCAGAGCTCCCGCCGAAGTGCCGCCAATCGTGGCTTTTTTCCCCCCCGGCTGCTTGGGGCGGCAAAAAAAACTGGAGCCGGCCCTGACCAAGGGTATGGCCCCTTCATTTATTTACTAGCTGGGGGTGGGGGGCAGGAAGCCTATCTGTTCATTGTTATTAATGACTAGTGAAGTGGCAGCCTGTTGTGCTGCCAGGCAAAGAGCTAGAGTTTGGGCCCCAAGTTTAGAGTCTGATTCAGCACCGTGCAAACATATGCATAATTTTAAGCACATGAGCAGCCTTGTTAACGTCCATGAGATTACTTATGGGCTTAGAGTTAAACAGATGTTTATGTACTTTGCTGACCCAGGCCTGTCCCTCGCTTCTGGGATTGACTTGCACTTGCATATATGCCTTATAAAAACGGCTCACTCTGTTCCCCCAAGTAGGAGAGAGCAACTCACACTGCTCTCTCGAATGTGTGTCCCCATCCTTATCCCCCTGTGACTAATGCTCAGAGTGGCATCACTAGGTTCCAGAAGGGGCCTGTCCTGGTGTCAGTCAGAGCGAGGTCACTGCAAAGCAGGGTTGCGGGTGAGCGGGAGCAAAGTAGAGGGGAAAAAAACAACCTGAGGAATCTCAAGAGACCCTCCCTCCTTTTCAGCACATTCACCTTTGCTCGGACCTGGAGTTGGTACAGACGCATTATACAGCTTCATTCAAATAAGTTAAAATTCATTCCTGTGTAGAATGGCCCACACAAGACTTAGGAACCATTTATGCCCTTAAAACTGGATGTAACTGGGGTTTCTATATGACAGGCCTTCTGCTGGGCCCTGTCTGGAGACTGTACATAAAGTCCCTGTTTAATTTTTAAAAAGAAATTGGTAGTGCCGTGGTTACAGGGCTAACCGCACATGTGACACCCTCTCTGGTGACTGATGCCATCCACTCAGGTGTCAGTGTGAACAGCTTCTCAGTCACAACTGCCCCACCTCTGGACAGAAAGTGTCTTTTAAACTGGTTATAGTCCTTTTGAGTGCCTGGTCCCGAGCACTGGGAAATAAAGCTTTTTGACTTGGCTGTATTCTGGAGGTAGGACCTTCACAACTAGAAGCTCAGGCATCGTCTCTTAACCAGCCTGAAGTGTTTACCAGGCAGTGGCTTATCTAAAGCCATTTTTGTCCTTTCCTGCTTGTGTTTTTTCCCAGCGGCCCCTATTAAACTCAATCAATAAATTCGTACAACTAACGTCCAAATAACCAGATCAACGCACAGCATTCTTAAATTCTTACAAAGCAACCTCACTTCTGTGACAGATGGCTAGTACTATCTTGGGGTAGCAGGTGTTTTAAAGCTACATGTGGCAGAAGCAGCTTTGTTCTTCAAATTTATGCACCAACATGGATCACATAAGAGTAATGTCAGCTTGAAAACTGGGTGCCAGTCTTGTGTCCATTTATCTGTAATGCACTAGAGACTTGTAATTAAATATCTACGCCATGTTTGGTAGGGTGAGCCAGGACCACCAGGTTCCGAAGGCTCCTCTGGATGTTCAGAAGCTATGGTAAGTAGGCAGAAAGTAGATCCAATGCATTTTTACATATGCTGTGTGAGGCATTGCAGGGGATGGGCAAGAGTTTTGATTAGAATCATCTAAGTAGAATAGATTCAGAATAAATACCGATCATTGTTTTCTTTTGACCTCTATCATTCATTAACTACTCGCTTATCATAGGACAGAAACTGATTTGCATATTACCATATTTTTTAATGCCATTCTTATACAGTTTTGAAAAGTGAAAGTAATTTAAAAATTCTGGAAAAGCAAAACATGAAGGTACAAAACTATGCCGCTTTTTCTTCTTTCGAGGGTTAAATGAATAACATTGCATTACTCCCTCAGGGTTTCCTTGGTGAAACAGGTGAACTTGGCCCCCCAGGGAAAAAGGTAACATGAAAATATTATTCTGCTTTTATGCTAAACTTTGCTTGTTTTATTGTTAGCTTGTCCTCCCAGCCCCCTCATCCTTGTTTACCTGTCTTGTCCTACATCTAGATTGTAAACTGTCTGGGGAAAAGACTGTCTTTTGTTACTTGTTTGCTTAGGGCCTAGCATATTAGGGCCCTGATCCTTGAATGGGATTCCTAGGCACAATAACAATCATCAATGATTTCTCACGGGAAAGGATCTGAGCACAGAAGAGAAAATGAGCCCATCTGTTAATTGTAAGAATGAGTGGTGTGTCAACAGCAGGACAGACCCTTTCTAAACAAAGAAGGTAACTTGTTTCTGGTCATTCTCTGTCATAGGGTGAACCTGGTTTGCCTGGACCTCAGGGTGAATCTGGAATAGAAGGAGAAATTGTAAGTGATCAGTCTCTCTCTTTCTGTGCTTGTCACTGGAAGCTTCTAAATGCTGTAGAGAATCTGAAGCCAGAAGTAACAGCTGGTTTTGCATTTCAGAGGGATGCTGGTGGGAGTGGTGAGGATGGTGGCTCTGGTGATCCAGGAGAAACGGTATGAGATGGCAATTTATTGAAAGTAGTTCGTATCTGTCAGGCATTGTCTTTTTGCACTGTCTATATAAAGCTGAAAAATGAGGTCCAACAATGTGAATGCTGTAAATAACCATGTTCCCATGGCACCAGGTGTTCAATCGTAACTTTTAGCTGTGTAATGTTAAGCCAACATTCAGTTCAGTCATCAATGTATTTTCTCTTTTGTCAGAATGACTCTCTTTTCATGTTTAAGTTCCTGTCTTCCCCTGTTTGAATTTCTTTAAAAGCAACAATTAAAATCTAACACTTGTTCTTACTATCCCAGGATTCTTTTGTTTTTCCCATTTTATCATAGAAATGTAGGGCTGGAAGGGACCTGAAGAGGTCATCTAGTCCATCCCCACACATGAAGGCAGGAGTAACTCTACCTAGACCTTCCCTGACAGCTGTTTATCTAACTCTAACCTGTCTTTAAAACCTCCAATTACTCCTTGTCAACCTATTACAGAACTTAACTATCCTTATAGTTAGAAAGCTTTTTCTAATATCTAACCTAAATCTGTTTATCTCTTTGTAACAACTCTTAACATATGTCAAGACTATCATCAGGTCCCTCCTCATTCTTCTTGTCTCAAGAGTAAACAAATCCAGTTTCCTTAACCTTTCTTCATGTGTCATATTTTCAAAACTTTTATTGTTTTTGTTGCTCTCCTCTGGACTCTCTCCAATATGTCCGCATCTTCCTTAAGGTGTGGCACACAAAACTGGACACAATTCTCCACTGAGGCCTCCCCAATGCTGAATAGAGTGGAACAATTACCTCCTGTGTCTTATGTACGACATTCTTGCCCCAATGCTGAATAGAGTGGAACAATTACCTCCTGTGTCTTATGTACGACATTTTTGTTGATACACCCCCGGAATGATATGAAGCTTTTACACACCTGCATCACATTGTTGACTCATTCACTTTGTGATCCACTACAACCCCCAGAGGTACTTTTCAGCAGTACCTCTGCCTAGCTAGTTATTCTCCATTTTGTAGTTGTGCATTGGATTTTTCCTTCCTAAGTGTAGTACTTTGCCCTGGTCTTTATTGAATTTTATCATTTTCCGTTACTCTAATTTAGAATCACAGTAAGCAGTATCATGGCACTTGCTTGACTAGTGTGGGGAAAAACAACAGTCCTTAGTTCCTGGGATGCTAGTGTATCTTCGGTATAAGCAACAAGCTTGGGCTAAAATAGGGCTTCGGCTTGAATAGACCCCCAAATTCTATTCCCCTCAATTTACTGGGACTGAGATACATCTATAACTGGGACATAACTATGACAGGGCCACAGATGCCTAAAGGAGCTCACTATTCCAGGCCTCCTCCACAGAGCAACAGGAGCACCACACAGGAATGTCCCTGCTTGAACCATTTTGTGTTCGCTGTGCTCGGAGAGCCTGAGTGCCTGGGAGCAGAGGCCCTGTGCACTATGGTAAAGAATGACTCATCTCACTAAAGTCAGAAAACCTGATCTGCACCTGCAATAAGCCTTTCCCAATTAGATTCTTTGATGCAAATAATGCATTCGTGGCCCACTACATTTAAGCCAGAAATAGGGCAGAATAAAAACCTGGTACCAGATAATAATACTCATTGTGGCAGATCTTCAGTTGTCATAGCACCCTTGCCTTGTAACAGAACTCTGATGGCTTATGCCAGCTGAGGATATGGCCTGTTAATACCAAGATGTATATGAGCTCTGGGTGAGTCAAGCTGCCCTGCTGCAAAGTCATTCTCAAAAGTAGCATCCTCTGGAAGGCATGTCATAGCTTGAATTGACATCACAATGTTAGCCATTGCTGCATTATTTTCTGGGTACTATATAGAAGCAACCAAGATAAGTGTCTGAACCAATTATTGTGGTACAATAGTGATGTGGTTAGCAAAATACTCACAGATCTAAGTATTATAGACTCATTATGGAAATTAGAGATGGAAAATACTTAAGCCCTGGTCTACACTGGGGGGGATCGATCTAAGTTACGCAACTTCAGCTACGTGAATGACGTACATGGATCTACTTAGCGTGGTGTCTTCACCGCGGTGAGTCGACTGCTGCAGCTCCCCTGTCGACTCTGCCTGCACCTCTTGCGGTGGTGGAGTACCGGAGTGGACAGGAGAGCGCTCGGGGATTAATTTATCATGTCTAGATTAGATGCTCTCTTTTTTACTGAATGTGGCTGTAATCTGTGTGCATAGAATTATGACGTTACACAGACAAATTTCCACACGTTGAACAATGGCCATGTCTAACATGCTTCAGCAACTGTGTACAATCGCAATTATCTTTATCACCGAGGACTATATATGTTGATTCCCCCCAAAAAAATCCAGACAAATTCAGCATGTAATATTACTTCGAATGAAGTGGTGTTTCCAAAACTGACTGCATGAAAATGTATTTTTAAAACCATACTAGATGCACTCATTGTTATTTTCCTTGCTTATATTAAAATGGCGAGACATTGGCTTTGTTTTGTTGTGGAGTAGGGTTCCCAAGGAAGACCAGGAAAACAAGGACCTCAGGGGCCTGTGGGACCCAAGGTAATTCCACGTTGCTGTAGGAAAACCCAAACAACTCCAACTAGCCATGAATATATTAGACTTAAAATACCATTTAAAAAAAAGAGGGAAGCAAAGATAACTCCCTACAATGGTTAAAGGCTGGATTAGGAAGGAGCAAAACCCTCATGAAACCCCTGAACTGACTATCTGGACATTGGATCTCAGTGCACTGGGATAAACAGCTAATTTCTGGAGGTGGATGCAGTGTAGTTGCAGCCATATTGGTCCCAGGATATTAGAGAGACAAGGTGGGTGAGGTAATACCTTCTATTGGAGACAAGCTTTTACAGAGCTCTTCTTCAGGTCTGGGAAAGGTACTCCCAATCTCACAGCAAAATGCGAGGTGGAACCGATTGTTTAGCAGAAGTAGTTAGCACATATTGTAAGAGACCATTCAAGGCAGAGGATGGCAGAGAGTGGGTGGACAGTGCCAGGGAATGGGCAGGGTTTTTGCTTCCCCCGCCTTCTCACTTGCCAGACTAGCTGAGCCAGTGAGTGGGGGAAAGGGAATATAATAATTTATGGCTGGTATAATCCCTGGGAGCAAGGAGGAAGCAGAGGAGGAATTGGGACCCAGAGATGTGTCTGAATTATAATATTTCCCAGGCTGCTCCTGAGTGGTACTGTTTATGCACCACCCTTAGCTCAGAGCTGTGCCTATGGCTACAAATCTTTTCCCAATGTGATATGTGAACATCACTGAAAAGGAAAAGAGCCAGATTGTGCTTTTAAGCCATTGGCCAAGGTGTGTATGGGGGAGGTCTCTGGAGGATACATACTGCAGTGAGGGCCTCTGGAGGAAGTG